CCTTTCATAAATGTCTATAAGTGTTCTTGTTCTCCGACTGACTTGGTTTTCATCATCCGAATCTTCTTCTTCAAACACAGTATCTTGTTCTTGGGACATATTTTCCCCAAGACCAATCTGATTTGGAGAATAATATTGGACTTCTCCCAATCTCACATTGTTGATTCATCAACCTTAATGTCTCTTCTAACCACAACCTTTTGTGAGGCTATGTCAAAGACTCTATAGGCTTTGGAGTTGCTGCTATAATCAATTAGGATCCCAACATCCGCCTTCTTCGCTAACTTGTCCCTTTTTGGATCGGGAACATGAGTATAACACACTACCAAATATCCCGAGATGAAAAACGAAGGTTTAACTCCAAACCAGGCTTCAAATGGAGTCTTACCCTCAATTGCATTAGTTGGCAACCTGTTGAGCAAATACACGGAGGTATTGACGACCTCCGCCTAAAAATGCTTGGGAACACCCTTCTCAAATAGCAAACACCTTGCCATATTCATCACGGACACTGTTCTTCCTCTCACAAACTCCATTCCGTTGTGGAGAGTATGGGACGGTAAGTTGGTGATGGATTCCATCTTTTGACGAAATTCTTCAAACTGATTTGATGTATATTCCGTCCCGTTATCGAACCTTAGAGTCTTGATTTGAAATCCGGATTGCTTCTCCACCATTGCTTTAAAATTCAAGAACATGCCAAACACTTCGACTTCGCTCGGAAAATAAACCCAACACATTCTACTAAAGTCATCAATGAATAAAAAGAAATATCTCGTCACTCGTGAGTGAGGGTGACCTCATGGGACCACACACATCGAATGAACCAGCTGGAGCTTTATAGAAGCTCTCCAAGCTTGATTTGCGGGGAATGGAAGCCTTGTTTGCTTCCCAAATTGACATACACCACATACTTCGAATTTTCACTCACGGTAGGCATATCAATAACCAGACTCATTCCTTTGCATTTGTTTTAGAAGCAGCATAATTAAAGTGGCCTAGCCTTTTGTGCCATAAAACAGATTCATCAACAACTCGTAGTAAAGGCTTTTATTTCGAGCATTTTTCCATTGAATAGGAAAGCATCTCTTGTTCATTTTAACAGAGAGAAGCTTGGCTCTTTTAGGATCAAACACATCACGAGCTTTGTTTTGAAACACCAAAGAATAATCATTTTCAAGCAATTGACCCACACTCAGCAAGTTTTGATCTAAATCGGGAACTAGAAGAACTTCGGGAATTAGTCTAGTACCCGAAGATGTATCCATAGTAATCACACCCTTGCTCGTGATTTTCAAGCAAGTTCCATCTCCAATCTTAACCGTTGAGGTGTAGTTCCTATCTAGCTCTTTGAACATGCCGGGATTAGGTGTCATATGATTTGTGCAAGCACTATCCGAGTAGCCAAACTCTAGGATTTGTGGTGACGACATAGCAAGTTGCAACAAACAACTTCTCCTCATGTTCTTGATGGACTTCGACAACTTGAGCTTGCTGATTCTGTCGTTGTTTAGATTTATTTTTGCATACCTTCTCAACATGACCAAACCGATGGCATGATCCGCATTGAACTCCCGGCTTGTACCAACAATATTTCTCTGTATGATTCCTTTTGCTTGCAGGTGAGAGCGAGGAGGAAACTTCCCCGTTTTCCTCTAGACTTGTTGCTTCGAGTATCTTTTTTATCTTTATCACTTTTATCACTTTGTTGCTTCTTTGAACCGGAACTCGGAATGAGCCTTACCTTTGTTCGAACAAATAAAGCTCCTTCAAAATGCTCCTCCCGCTCGATCGGCCTTCTATGTTTAGTAGCTTGCAATGAGTTAACAAGCTCGACAAAGTAATGCTTGACAAATCCCTTGAATCTTCAAAAGATGAAATTTTGGCTTCAAACTTCTCGGGTAGGCTAACAAGAACCTCTCCACAACCCTTTTATCCGGCAAGTCCTCTCTCATCAATCTGATTTGGTTCACCACCTTCATGAGTCCGTCGGAAAATTCCTTGATCGACTCCGAATCCTTCATTCTCGAGGATTCAAATTCTCTTCTAAGATTGAGAACTTGCATCTTCCTTATTCTTTCACTATCACTCGAACTCCTCCTTGAGCCTATCCCATGCATCTTTTCCAGTTTCACAAGTCATTATTCTTGTGAAGATTATTTCGCATACAGCGAGCTTGGATGCATGAAAGTGCCTTGTATTGTTTTGAAACCTCCTCACTATATTGCTTGATTTGAGCCACGGTGGGATTTGCTCTCAAGGGCTCGGGGTTTCGTCGGTTTCAATGACCTCCCACGGATCATAGGCCTTCAAATAGGCTCTCATTTTTGCAGCCCAAATTTCGTAATTTTCTCCTGTGAAAACGAAGGAAGTGGAACTGTAAAATTGATGGAAGCCATCACTTGAAACTCACAAACTCTCGAGTCTTTTGGTGAAGGTTGCCTTTCCGGTTTTCTCTCAAGGAAAACTCTTATGGCCCCTCAAAGATCAAGTGAATGCTCGATACCACTATTAAAAAATGCGAGAAAAATATGACGAAGCACACGGGAAAGAGAGAAGCAAAACGGAGGTGAAAAATGAAGCTCCTCTGCACGTGCATTCCTTTCATTCAAATTTATAAATGTGCTGTACGGACGTTATGGAGTTGGTAAACTAATCCTAACTTTAAGGAGGTTTGTCTTCACGTTCGGTTCCTAAAAGTAAGCTCCACCACAAAAACAAAATTCTAGAACATTTTCTAAATAAAAAATACAACAAAAGGTTACACAAAATTTGTTGACAGCTCTTGTGTCAACCTACCGTCAACAGTTCCACTCTCATCATCTCCACCAAGATAGTGGTAAATTGAATTTGTTTAATGCAACATCACACCAGCTGCATGTGCTCAAAATGAGCAGCCCACATAGTCAGAAACGAGATGCAGAGGATGGGCAATAACAAGCTTACAGATTAAAAAAAAATATTACAGATTGATACTAGAAAGCAGAAAATCAGTGTCAGCTGCTTCAAATATTGTGTAGGAGGCCATGATCATTAAGATTATTAGGGGAAACAAGACCTTCAATATATACTATCGATTCAAACCAATCCCCGTCATGGTAAATGATGAATGGTCTTGCTGTGTCTTCGTTTGAGTTGTAAAAGACTAATTCCCTTCCATCTAAACAAAAAACAATGTTACCATTCTTTTTCACCCATAATAGTTGAAAACCATACAAACCTCCAGGAATTGGTTCGCCTTTGAAACTCAAGAATCTAGTCCAAGAAGCCTCGCTGCTATATTCCTTCATTATCCATGCCTCGCAGCTCGGACGGCCATAGTGAGAATATAGACAAAGCCAGTCTCCTAAAACCTCTAATTCCAAGTACCCGTTATTTTCATCATCAGTTAGACCTCGAAGTGGCACCATCTCTAGGAATTTCTCCTCTATCAAATCAAATGAAACCATTTTATACTTTTTACTTCCACCATTCTCCTGGCTGACTAGCCAATGCAAAACCCCATTTGCTAATCTACCCGGACCCCCCAAGACAACACCACAACAAAGATCTTCAACTATTCTCCACAAATTGCTTTTTAAGGTAAATACCTCAACTTGAGTTTCAATCTTAGAGCCATCAGTACCATTGGTGGAAGCAGAGATGGAACCTCTTATAATTTTATAATCCTCAAGCTTGAAATCATAACCAAATCCATAAAAGCCATCTTCCGAATAATCCAGAATCGCTAGTTCTCTGGACTCTCTAGTGGATGGATTCCATAAATAGATCAGCGGATTATCGTGCAAAAGTCCACACACCAAGCCATTACAAGATCCCAGAATTTCAATCCAAGAATATTCAGGATAGCTGACTGAAAAGTTGAGGGTGGTTGTTAAAATATTACCATCAGGCTCACAATAGGCTTCAGGATCAACGGATAGGTGAGGATCGGTGGAGAGGAAGATTTTGTAGTGGTTACCATTGATGTCTTGCTTGGTACGCTTGAGGTGCATTTTGGCAAATTCAGGATGGGAGATTAAAGAACGCCATGCCTTGGATACGCACTTGAAACGAACCAGACACTTGACAGACAGCCTTGAGAGAATATCTGAAATGATTTCTGATGGGAGTTTAGGGATTCGTCTCGGCATTGCTGATTCAGTTTGGTTTGCTCTGTGGTGTATGTAGTAGCTAAATATAAATAATCAGTGGCAAGAAACTTTCATGCCTCTGGCCTTCCCTGTAAGCTGCCATGACTTGTTCTGCTGCTTTCCGAGAAATGGACGAATAGTAACTGCGTTGTTAATTGGTCACTAAGCTTGGACAAAAAACTACCTGGTCAAATATTTGTTAGGAGCAAGCAACCATTTTGTATACTTTAAATTTTAAGTCTCTTTCTCTTATTTCTAATTTTTTATAGAAATGGATTTTTTATATGTATTCAAGCAGTATCTAACTAGCTTGTACCAAAAGACTTGACCTTGCACAGCCATGGCCCTGGGATGTGATGTGATGATTGGATTGACTAATGGTTGTTTCCGTAGTTGAATGGAACTTGAATTAAAAAAAAAAAAAAAGAACTAGTAATCAAAATTGGACATAGCCAAAGAAATTATCCAGAACTACTGTCACGTTTTAGCTGGTTGAACTAAAGGCACCAGGAAATGTAAAATATACCTAAAGTTGATCTAGAAGTTAGAACATAATCATCATTTGAATGCCATAAACACAAAAATAAGAACAGCAAAGGCGAAAAGGCGAGGATGAAAAGGAAAAGAACAGATTAATCTGTCTCAGCTAATTTCATTTGATTGTTTCATCTTGTTTTTAACTCATTCCTTTGTTGCTCAAGACTTTCTGCGTACGTGGTTGCTATAAACCAGTCCCATTAATGTACAATTGTGAATCTTTTATATCTATCTTCTCTTGGTTTTTAAAGGACTTAGCTCTAATCCATCTAAATTATATTCAACCAGAGATTACAATCCTCTGTAACATATAGTAGACCAAGCCTTTATTTACATGCTAATTAGTGTCTTATTTGGAACAGTTTCCCTTTCAGCTAGCCAATGCAGAGTATCATTTGCACAAGTTCCTGGACCCTTAAAGACAACACTATATTCCAGGTCCTGAATTGTTTTCCATATATTAATTTTCAAGGTCAAGACCTCTACTTCTGCTTGATGATTAGAACCATTGTTAGTAGAAGTAACGATGGAACCTCTTAACATTTTGTAAACATCAAGGTGGTGATGATAACCAAATCCAGGAAAGAAATTACCGTTTGGCAGAGAATTAGGCGCTGGCACTTCCTTGGAGTCTCTAGTAGATGGATTCCCTACGGTGATGTGGTTTTCTATTGAAGTTTGTGTTGCCAAAATGAGCATTTTCCTTTCTGAAGGTAGCTCCCAAAATGGCCAGTATCCTTTAAAGTAACTGTTCTGTCAATGATGTGCAGAATGCCAGAGATGTATTCTGTTTAATCAAGCATACACTGCAATGGAGAAAGCAACCTTCCAACATTTTTCATCAAGTGTTTGAGATGTATGTAACTGGAGAACTTGAGATGAAATGGAAACGTAAGATAGTCAAACCTTTGTTTGTAATCAGCATTAATTTCACATATTAAGATGCTTCATTTGTTTGTTTGATGAAAGAAAAGAACAGCAACTCCCATGCTCAGAAACTAGAGATAAAGTAAGAATAGGAATGAAGTTCATACTCTTACATTGGATAAGGAAACAAAGAAGGTAAAAATTCAAGGGAAGGAAGAAAGGGAATCAGTCACTACAGGAAAACTAGTCTCAGCTGCTTCATTTCTTAGTCTCTCTTGTTATCAAGCATTGAACCCACCACCAGTACTGGGGGAAACAAGACTTTCTGCGTATTCAGGCGATTTAATCCAACCCCCTCATCGTCAATGTTGATCTTTGCAATGTCTCTTCATTTTCGTGATAAATGACTACGTCCAAATTCCGATCCATCTAACTCCAACAAAGCATTACCATTCTTTGTAGCATAAACTAGATCAAGCCAATATTTACATACAGCCAATTCATCACTGCTGAACCTGCTCAAAAGAGTCCTGGAAGCCTGAGGACAATATTCCTTACATACTTGAAAATAAGATGCATAAATGGATCCATAATATGTAGTGTATAAGCATAGACAGTCTCTTAAAACTTTCAAACCGGTGCTCAAGTAAGCATGGTTAGTTATATCTAGCACCGGCACCATCTCCAGGAATTTCTCCTCTGCCAAATCAAATGAAACAATCACAAGTTTTTTGTTTGGAACGCTTTCCTTTTCAGCTAGCCAATGCAAAATCCCATTTGCATAATTTCAACCCTTTTATCTCCATTGAAATTGCATGTCGAAAAAAGAAATCTTTATTAAAATTTTCAGGGCAGCATTTTGCCTGGATGAGAGGCCACATGGGGCCCTTGACTAAAGAATTTGAGAAATCTGATCATTGACATAGGCAACATCCATTTGTTAAATAAAGAGAGAAGAAAAAAGAAAAGTAATATCCTATTGAAAAACCTGTATTCCAATTTGCAATTTTTTCAACGTCTTTGGAATGTTTTTAAAGAGGTTTGCAATGATTTGTTAGGCTATTTGCAGTGATATGTCTTATTTTATCCAGTGGCAATGTTCCACCATCTTCAAGATGGAACAAAACGTCTAAGTTGGAATTTATTTTATTTTATTTTTAGAACCAAAATCAAACTTCCTTAAGAAATAGAATTTTGAACATCAGAGGACACTGGATCATAAATATCATCTAGACAATTCTCTATCCAAACTCTTTCCCAGGACAAAAATATAGCTACATTCCCCAGGTAACGAACTGCTGAGTTGGTACTTCTTTCAATGACTATATCCCTAGGAGAAAAACTTGAGAAACTTCTCCCAGTATGACATATATCCCCAACAAGTACACCACGTTCAGAAGCAGGTGTTGGATCCATCTTCAGAACATTCATCAATAGCAAGCCATCTGTTTCTAGGATGACATTTGTGTGTCCCATGTGTATGGCCAGAGTCAAACCATAGCAAGCTGCCATAGATTCCCCAAGGATCTCCTCAAAACATTGATCCAATCTGTTAGATGCTGCTACCACTAATTGTCCTTCATCATCCCCGATGACGAATCCCATCCCATGCCATTTTGACCAAAGCAAGCCACATCACAGTATAGATTTTGAAAAAACCAGGTTGGGAAGGAATCCAGTGCTGATTTCTTGCTTGGGTGTTCATTTGGTTTTAATTTCTCATTAACCAACATACACTCCTGGACACATGCTAGCTATCTTTGCAGAATGGTACCGTGATCAGAAGAAGTATTCTCAAAATGCATCTTGTTACGATACTTCCATATTTCTCAAACTAGTACGAATACCCGTCTGGTTTCTTCTTTTGTCAGTGTAGCGATGGTAGCTTGCAACCATGCTTTGAAGTCATCAACATAACTGTTGGTCATATCCAGTGGCCGTCTACTTCAATCAACTGCCAAACTGTTGAAGACCATGCACATTCAACTGGAAGGTGCATTGTTGATTCTGGAACAGCTCGACAATTTTCACGGGTTGTATCTAAATTACTTTTTCTTGGGATAGCATACGAAATTAGTGACCTTAGATGGAATTGTAACCTTCCATCTTTTATTCCACCAACGATCCACTCTGAAAGACTAGTTAAATTTCATGGAGACAGATAGAAGATTTGCACTTTCTGTAGTAAAAAAGCCATTGGATGAAAATCTCCAAACCAGCTTATCTGACAGTGCTCGTAAACTGAGTGAAATATCCAGGATTTATTTATGTAATATTACGGTCATCAAGAATACATGAACATTGCACATGCTTATAATCTATAAACAGAGTAAGAACAACAAGAAAATTCAACTTACAAATGGATCCTAGAAACCAAAAAGAAGAAAAGGAGGAAACAAAATAAGTCTCAGCAGCTTCTTTTCTTCTAGTTCTCTCTCAATAACAAATATTCCGCCCATTGAACCCGTCATTCATATACGGCGAAATAAGACTTCCAATGTATACAGTCGTTTCAAACCAATCTGCTTCATGGTGGTCAATGCTGAATTCTCTTGATGTTTCTTCTTTTGGGTTATAAAACACCAATGCCCTTCCATCTAAATTGAAAAAAATATTACCATTCTTTGTCACCCATAATAGTCGAAACCAATACTTACCTCCAGAATTTGATTCACCGTTGAACCTCAAGAAACTAGTCCAAGATGCCTTGCTGCTATATTCCTTCATTATCCATGCCTCACAGTCACTGCTTAGACCATAATCAGAATACAGACAAAGCCAGTCTCCTAAAACTCCCAATTCGTAGTGCCAGTAAATGGCATCACCAGTTAGGCCTCGAAGTGGCACCATCTCTTGGAATTTCTCCTCTACCAAATCAAATGAAACCGTCGCAGTGGGACGACCATTGTCCTGTGTGACTAGCCAATGCAAAACCCCATTTGCTAAAGCGCCCGGACCCCCCAAGAGAACACTGCAACAAAGGTCTTGAACTGTTCTCCACATGTTGCTTTTTAAGTAAATACCTCTACTTTTGTTTCAATCTTAGAGCCACCACGGTTGGTGGAAGTAGACATGGAACCTACTATTATTTTATAGTCATCAAGCTGAGAATCATAACCAAATCCACAAAAGCATTCATAAGCATCCAAATAATTCGGCAAGGCCACTTCCCTGGACTCTCTAGTAGATGGATTCCATATATGGATTAGCGGATCAGACTCAAGAAGTCCACACACTAGGCCATTACAAGATCCCAAAATAAAGATATAATTATATTCAGGATACGCCATAGGAAAGTGGAGCTGGCTTGTTAAGAGATTGCCATCATCATCACAATATTCTTCAGGGTCGAAGATGCATGGGAAAGGGCTAGTGGAGAGAGATTTTGTGATGGTTAACACTGTTGTCCTCCTTGGTACGTTTGAGGTGTATTTGGCAAATTCAGGATGGGAGATTAGAGAACGCCATGTCTTGGATACACACTTGAAACGAACCAGACACTTGACAGGAAGCCTTGAAAGAATTTCTAAAATGATTTCGGATGGGACTTCAGGGATCACTTTGGGCATGGCTAGCTTCTTTAGTTTGGTTTGCCAATTCAGTACCATGCTCTGTGGTGTATGTAGCAGCTTCAGATATATAATCAATGGCAAGAAACTTTCATGCCTGTGGCGTTCCTTGTAAATTTCCATTGTTTTGCAGCAATGGATGGCCCCTGGCCCGGGAGTGTTTAATTGGTCAATAGATTCGGAATACACTTTAGGAACATCAACTTTCGCGTGTACTTTAGAAGCTAACTCTGTTTTCTACGCGTAACTTCAACTTACTATCAGATGGTAGTTTCGGATGTACATGGCAGCTTTAGTTTGGTTTGGTAGATTTTTTCTAGGTTCCTTCCTTAAGACGGGTTCCTGGTGATTTGTTGAAATGCCCAAAAGATCCAAAGAGAAACGAATGAGTCAAGTTTGGAGGTTAATCAATACATTGCATGCCTTTAATCTGAATAGCACGCCTACCAGATCTCGTTTTATTTTTTATTCCATGATAAAAAAAATATTATCACACCAGTTTATAAAATAATTATCAATCTTTCTTAATATTTTGCAAAAAATATTCAATAATAAAAAAAAAGTAACTGAAAAAAAAAAAAACAAGAGAACCCGGCGCTAGCCATTGGGACTCGCTATGCCTCTCTCTCGTCTTTTGTCTTCGTCTATTTCTCTCTCTTTTCTAAATATAAGGATCAAGCCGCAATATAGATGAATTTCCGAATCAAAACAAAAAATATGTGAAAAAATTAAGAATCAAAGTATAATATTTCTAAAAATATAAAAATTGTATATATGTCTTAAAATATCTTCAAAATTATAATAATGTCATAAATAGTAAAAAATAATAATAATAATTTGTGAGTGTCTCAATAGTATTATAAATTATAAAAATTCATTTTGTTTTAGTGTTTTTTGTTAATTAATGTTAATAGGCAAATGCACAAACACTTAGATTGTAACACATGGATGAGAGATGGAAAACTTGCAAAAAACTGTAAAGTATAGATTGTATTTTTTTTTATAGAATGTATTTTTTTCTTTTTGACTAAATACATTAATATGTTCTTATGTAATATATCAAGTCTCTCACTTGTTTTTAAATTTTCAATAGCATCTTATCTATTTTAAAAAATATTTAAATTGTTTAAAATGTTATTTTGATCAATTTTTTCAGTCATAATTTTTTTAAAAAATTGAAATGTTCTTGATTGAAATTAAAAAAAAAATTCTAAAGACTTAAAAAATATAACATGCAAGTCATGTGACTTTAAGAAGTTTTTTTTTCTTTTGCGTTTTAATAAAGAACATTTTGATAAAAAAAAAAAATTTGTCCATAGTTTGAAAATTTGAACGAATTCAAAAAAAAAAAAAAAAAATTATATACAATTGAAAACCTATAAACATAGGATAAATGGATCTATTTACTCTTATTTTTTAAAAGCTTTTCAATGGATTTTTGCTTTTAAGGCCATATATACAAATATTTATCTTCTTTTATAAATAAAATAAATATAAAATTGATTCTGTTCATACAACATATGTCGTCTGTACAAGATGAGATTGCCTCTCTTGGAGGATGAAATCGAAAAATATAAAATCTTAAAGGACTTTAATGTCGATATTAGAAAGAAAGAAGACTCAAATAATAAAATAAAGAACCAAAACTCTACCTTCCCTTCCCAACCCTTCCATCCAAATCACAAAAATCCCTAAATCAGTTCTGAACTAGATCTTCAGCCGCAAATTGCTACAGCACGAGATTCGCGACGCAGGAGGCTGTAGGATATGATTACGTCAGTTTCTCACTCTCAAACTGATATAGGTTAAATACTCTCCTTCTTCTTCTGCTAATTCCTTCTTCCTTTTTTTTACAGTCTCTGATTCCAATTTCCAGCAACAGCTACAACCTCTTGAGTTATGGCTCCTAAGACGAAGAAGGAGGAGAACGGCCGTCCACTTATTCTGAATCTGATTGTAATTATTGGGTATGCGTTTCTTGCATTTATAATGTGGCCTGACATCAAAGACCAAATATACAACATGAGAAATTACGGGGTCGAAGGCTATGCTTTCGTTATTACATGCTTTTTCTGCTGTGTTGTACTGATTATCCTCTTTTGTTTCATCGATTTTCTGAAACGAATCATGAAATGATGGAAGCGTGTTTTGTTTAGTAACTATTTGCAGAATCCCCTTTGCCTTGCTGTATGCATATGGAGATAGCAAATAGAATTATTCTGGTCGATATATTTTGCAGCCGCTCCAAGTAAAATCTGCTTGCTCTTTGCTCGATGGATTTGTTTCGGAGTTTTTCTCTTCTTTTGTTTTTCATTGAAAAATAATATTTGGAAAATGGGTTGAAGTTCATTTGCCGGTATGGTATTACTCTATGGGATTGGTCATTTGTGAAGGATTCATCACTTTAAGAGAGGTCCTGGCAGCTAAAGAGGATCAATATTTTGCTGCTGAGCGTGGCGTTTCTGAAGTGGTGCATGGTGGAGTTTGAGTTTGAGTGGTTTTTGTTTGTGTAATGTGAATTCCTGTTGTACTAGTACAAGTGTATCTCTATTTTTCGAAATGGTTTTTACAGGATGCTGGATTTTCAGAACTCTTTTGTCATTTGAGAAGTTGTTTTTGCACCTCGCATGAGTAATCCAGCTGCAGATGTTATGGCTTGCAAAGAAATCTCTGTTGAATGTTTCTTAACTGTATTGAAGATCATTCATCTGTCCATTGGTATGAATTAAACTTCAATGGTAATTACCATGTCATGGCTTGCAATGAAATCTATTGAATTTTTTGTAAATTGGATTGAGGATACTCCACTTTTACTATAATTAATGGAAACCGCGTGTGCACGAGGAAACTTTGAGAACTTCATTATGAATGATGATTGGGGCTAGCCTTTTGCAAGGTCTGATGGTTGATGCTGGTTCAGGCAGCTATCTGCGTCACGGAAGCTAGTCTGCCAAAACAACTGGGAGGTTTGCTATCTTTGTTGCATGAAAGGCAATGAGCAAGAAGGCCTTGAAGGTATAGTTTGGTTTTCCAAGTTTTATTGCAAGCATATGAGGTGTGTGAAGATATGTTCTGAGACTCGCAAATATTCTTGTCTTCTCCATGCTCTATCAAAGGATGAAACCTACACCTATCAATGGGGCATGGAAAAAGACATGAGCAGAAAACGCAAACAGGGAAGACAAGAGGCAACGTTGAAAACCGAATGGGCTGTTGCTTGCCATTGCTTAGATAGTAATAGTGAAGGGAAGCAGAGCTTAGAGTCAATATAGAGAATATGAGGCCAAGAGCGTAAGCAAATCCCCACCCCAAGTGATGGCCAGGCTTATGTCGACCTTCATTGCTGACGGTACTTTTGCTGTGCTTGTTATAGTACTTTAAAGCAAGATGTACAAAGGAAAGTGAAAGAGATATGGCTGCTATAATCAGCCCATATACTGCAGCTTTCAATTTATATGGAGAGGTTTGTTCAAGTGAGGCTGAAATGGCCTCCATCACAAGGTCATCCCAGATAAGATTATCTCCCAGCTAAACCAACGGCGCTGCCAAAAAAAAAAAAAAAAAAATCATAAGAAAATCACTTCAAAAGTACATAAATAAGTTTTCTTTTTTGGTACAAAAAAAATATATATATAATTAAGAAACAATTAACAACGATAGAAGGAATGACAAATGCAAAGTCACCAAAAAATATACACACACCAGATTCTTCCTTTGAGTTGCTCCCAGAGAGGACCTTTGCGCTACTTGTTTAGTAAAATTTATCCTATTAGAAGAGTAAGGAAAAGCAAAGGATGGTGCTTGATGAAAGAGTTTTTTGTTTATAAATTTAACGCATTTTTCTTCTAATGTGTTGGGTTTCAAGATGTATTTGTTAACCCAGCTCATGTAGGTTCTATTTTTATAATCTATTGAAGCCCACTTAATAAAAGAGGAATATAGATCGATAATGGCCCAATAAAAAATAGAATCAAGCTGGGCCATCATGAAATGTGAATAGAGTGTCTGGCCTTATAAGGCAATTTGCCCCCACCAAGCTTACAAAATTTAAATATTTAAGCTTTATAAATCTTACACCCTTTTTAAATTTCCAATTTCACCAAGGCCCAATTTTTATCCAAACAACTTTTAAATGCCCTCGACTAAGAATTCAAAAGTTTGATTTGTATGCAAATGCCATGCTACTGTTTTGCATCACTTTTGGTTCAAATCAATGAGATAATTTCTCACTATTATGAACTTTTTGTATTCAAAACCTTTGGCTATTTATAGGTAACAAGGAATTAGCATTATATTTGTGATTTAACTTTATAAAAGTAAATGATGACTCAATACACTGTTGATTTAATATGTCAATATCCTAAAATGCGGTTTTTAATTAAATATTTTCAAACAACTAAGTTTTTAAATAATTTGCTAAAATCGTTTAGATTTGAATTAAAATGTGACATTTTAAAAGAAATGTGTGTTATGAAAATAATGAAGTTCTAATTAGAATTAGAAAGTAGGTAATATAGTAACTCAATCCAATTTAATAAAGTTTGTTAGTAGTTTGGTTAGAACCAATTTTGACCTCAAATTCAATTCTATGAAAAAGGACCCATACATCTAAATAAAAGAACTTATAAATGATATTTTTAAATAAAGTTCTTATCGACATTTAACTTGTAAAAAATTAAAAAAATTACATATCAAATGATCATTTTATCAAAAAGTTTAAATTGTTAGGTGAGACCCAAACATACTATTTATATTATTCTCTAATATTATATTATTAGAAAGAAATAGGATAGTAGCACCTTTCAAACATTTTTTTTTTTTAAATAAAAGATGTCTATTAAAATTGTGATGGCAGCATTGTGCCTGGATGAGAGAACACATGGTGCCCTTGACCAAAACATTTGAAAAATTCGATTGACAAAGGTATCATTCATTCTTTAAATAAAGAAAAAGGGAAAAAAACAAAAAACAATATCCTGTTGAAAACCCTGTGTTTCAACTGAAACATTATGATCCAATTTGCAATTGTTTACAATTTATTGTGCAGTATTACAGAGTTATCCCATCAAGAAATACGGAAGCATTGCACATGGTTACAATAAAGAAAAAAACGATAAAATTAAACTTATAAATGGATACTAGAAACCAAAAATGCAAAAGAAAAAGAAAGAAAATAAGTCTCAGCTTGCTGCTTCATTTCTTCTTGTTCTTTCTTATTATCAAAGATTCAGACCATTGAACCCAACGTTCGTATCAGGGGAAACTAGACTTTCTATGTATACAGTGGATTCAAACCAATCCGCTTCATGTCATAGCCTGGACCATGCAATGGAACGTCAAAACAAACGTCTTCAATTGGTCACCACATATTGCTCTCCATTTTAGATTTATTAGAGCCACGACCGTTGGTGGGAGCAGAGATGGAACCTATCATTAGTTTGTAATCATCAAGCTGCGAATCATAGCCAAATCCATTACTGGATATGACTGATGTAAGTCAAACCATCTAGACTAGATTTGCAATACAATTCTAGTGATTTACATAATCACAAAAAGATATTAAAGAATACCAAATGTGAGAGAGAGAGAAAATAGTCTCCCAAGTACCTTTCATCTTTTTCGTTTTTAGAGCCAATGAATGGAATGGATATTGATGAAGAGAATGGAGTTGGGCACGTTGGCATATTGGTAGGTTTGAGCATTGCACGTATGAGAGAAGCTGCATTTTATAGACCAACCTACAATAAAGGTATTAATGGAAGTTCCTTCGTTGTATAATCCTTTTCATTGGTATCAATGGAACTGACGTTAAGTGCTAAGGAATATAGTAAAGGTTGGGGTCCCATTTTGCTCCTAGGAATGGGTCTCTCTCCTTCGTTATAGGAAATTGGTTATTTCCGTGGTACTACTTTGAATTTTTTTTTTTTTTTTTTTCCACATTCATACCACTGTAGTAGACCAAAATAAAGATTGCAGGTTGAGTGAAGGTGTCAGAAAATAGTACCTCATGTCTCAAAAAAGATTGTTCCTTTCTATTTATATCTATCTAAATAAATAATTTAAATAATATGCCTTTTTAAAATACCCCTAATTCATTAAAAAAATATATCAATTCTTTCTTCCATTTTTTTATTTTTCTCTAACAAAAAATTAATATTCTTTATATTTTTTTATACATATTCAGACAAATTTACTACCTTAATTATAGATAGATTTTCTCTTTAAATTAACATTGGCTCCGTGTAATATAAAATTAAATTTAATAAAAAAAATTAACAAAAAAAGTATTTTAAAAAATATATAACAAAAAAAAAAGAAGAATCAAGATTTACACACTGCCGGAGACTATCAAATGCTGCCTCATTTTCTAACCAATTCGAATTGTAAGATGTATGACTTTTGAAAATGTTCATTCCTGACGTCAACTATATTTTGAAAAGATTGCCGGAAAAAAGGGAATGTGAGTTAGACACCTAGAAAACTACAAAGTTCCGCGAAGACTAGGAGGAGCACATCAGAAATTTCAAAACAATCAAGCAGAGGTTCTCTTCAATTCCTTTCGTATTGCTTCTGATAGCTCCTCTGCATTATACTCAACACCAAAGCATCTTACAACCTCCATGTTTGGATTGATTAAATACCTGCATGTTTTAAAATACATAAAAACCTCTTAGAATTCAAGCCAAAAAAAAAGAAATTAAAAAATGAGCAGACAAGAAAGCAGCAGTGGAGCTTGTGGCTTACATGTTATGAGAAGACTCGACAAGATAATCATCTCCTTCCTCTTCAACTTTCCTGAAATAAACACGGTACTCTTGCGCCATCTGCCTTATAGCACCAACAGGTCCTGTTAATCCTACTATTCTTGGTTCAAACTCTGCAGTCATTCAAAGTTCATTAATATATGTTAACCAAAGCAAGTTCTTACAACAGAATTAATGAATTATCTGAAACATGTCCAGTAGCAAGCAAATTCCTAACCTTTAAGGTAAGCACGAAGATGTGAGGGATTGTCACGCTGAGGATCGAGTGTGACAAACAAGGGCAAAACCTTAAGATTCTCTTTAGACTCTAGATCCATATAAAATACAGCTATCAGATGTATAACCATCCCCTGCCAAAAAAAAAAAAAAAAAAAAAAAAGCTTATGCTGATTAATGCATCATACCTAATGTGTTTATGGCCTTGGCCATCACTTTAAGTTGCTCAGGCCCAACATCAGGGGAGGATGTATAGCCGAAGTACAGCAAAACCCAATTTCCTAGAAAGTCTTTCTCAGTAACTAGTTTATTCTCTGTGTTAATTAGGGTGAACGGACCACCAATAGTCGGACCCTTGACGTTGACAGAATTACTGCCTTGACCTGACCAATATACAAGAGAAGAAATACAATTAAAAAAGTGGGAGAACAAGGTCAAAAGAAGTCCACATACAATAGTGCAACGTTAACCCACATAGTGCAACATTTTGAGTCACACAACTCAGAGCCTAAAACACAGGTTTTAGGAACGCATTCCTGAACAGGTATAAAGTCAACCAATCCTATTGCATTAACAATATCTTTTCTCAATTCACTGACAGAACTCATATTCAGTAGGTACATAATTAGGCCTTTAAGCCCATAAACTAAAGATAATCAAATAGATAGTATACGGGTGGTTTTAGCCAAGACCAAGTCCTTAAAGTAGAACCCTGCTAGTGACCATCACAAACCCAACATCATACAAGTATACTTGTGTCCAATTAAGACTAGTCTAAATCATCACACCACTAACAACATGCTGTGACACAGTTTCTATGCTTCAGAAAATAAATAAATAAAGATACTCCCCTCATGTGATATTGTTTTTCTGAGCACAAAACAACTAAAACGTCAATTCATCAATTCAATTTTAGAAAAATAAAATTTTATAATCAATTTGTATTGATAAAACAAATTTCTCTGAGAACCATGCTAGTTATTTTTAAAAAGAAAATCATAATACATTTGTTCTGGTCCCTTTTGGAGGAAAAGCACTAGCTCTGTCATTGGCAAGTGGTTTCGCTATGCACCTCAAAGAACACGAGATATTGGGAGCATTGATTAGAATCTAGATTTTGGAGGAAAGAAAGGTTTAGAACGATCATCCTGGAAGCAGATTTGCAACTGATGCTGGATGCACTTATACCAGGACATCAATCCAACAAATGCCTTGTTCTGTTCAGTAAAGACAGGACTGGATCAAGACTGGACAGTGACGAATACTCGGAAATTTAGAGAAGGGGACTGCTGCATAGACTGCCTTGCCAGAGACATCCTTTGAGTGTAACACATTTCTTTGGGCCACCACTAGGCGTATTTCTTTATTTATGGATAATCCTAGTGGGTCTTGCGACCCATTTGTGTGTGTTGTGATCAGGTTTGGGTTCCTCATTATTGACTCAAAAAACCATGATAAGGTGTTACTTGTTTAGCATCTCAGCAGCCTAACATGTATCCCATCATTCTTTCATTAGATTATTTCTTTGATAAATGTGAGGTGAAATGCAATTTGGTGAAGCGTTTTACTCTTTCATGTTCAAGTTTCTTAAGAACTCAGTGAAAGCAACAGAAACAAGGACAATATGAATTCAAAATTGATTGATTGATTTAAGCGGCCAACAAATATAAGGCTAAAGCACAATGTTTGAACCTCAAAAAAGGAAAAAAAAAAAAAAAAAAAAAGATGCAGCCACCAGGAGGATTGATTTGACTTTCTATGTTAATCCTGATGGTTTAGTGCAGTAACTCTTTCTTCTTATGATTCAGTAGAACTCGACCAAATTGAAGGCACAGTGTTCCCCAAAAAGGCTACACCTATTTTAATGTACATATTAATAACAAAGAGCATAAGTGAGTTTTACAGGTGGGTAGACGGTTTTCCAGTCCAGCAAAATGTGCTCAAGTTAATTTCAATAACAAAGATAGTTCAGCAAATATTATATAACTGCACATATTATTTAAATACCAACTTCAAATCACTGAAATGAGCTACTACCGAACAAGGAAATGTTATCTAAATTACAAAGTACTTACTACCCAGGATTACTCGTATTAATCATCAATGGTCTCAGAATTTTCCACTTTGACATGCATGACAAAGAACCAAAACATTCAATCTCTCCATCTAAAAAACTAACAAGAAATAGTTTATGTTTAAAACCAATATGGACAAAATATTGGAAATGCTAAATATTCACTTTCAAATAAAACTTCAGATCCATTGTAAACAGTTATTTGATAATAGTTCAAAACATAGAAAGTACCTTTTGGAACTGCTCTCCTCTCATCATTATAATGCACAAAAGCTGCCAATCCAGCAAATCCTAGTATAGCAGCTGGCTGCAAAATTACACATTTTGAAAACATATTTAGTTTCAACTGCAGAATCCTCCTCCTTTTTAGTCAAAGAAAACACCAAACAGTCAAATCTACCATATTCTAATAATGGCACATTGAATCGAGAATCTACACTTGTCAATTAGTGATAATGAAGGGGCTAGACAGCATACAATAATATAGGAGCGAGGAGACAGCGGTTCTACTTGTACTTGTGGTACAGGACGACCATCCGGCTTCCTGTGATTCTGTCTTGTTGATTTTGAAAAATTACTAGATTGAACCCTCTTAGATGGACCAAGCCTACACCAATGATTCAACATATACTCAAAATGCCCCCAAGAAAACAGAGAGCACTTATAACATCACAGAATTCACTAATAACTCTGTCAAAAATCAGTCTTTAAATGTAAAGAACAGACATTCACTGAATAATGCTCAATTAAATAGCATAAAAAAGAAACAACAATCTTTAATGTATGAAACATTGAACATAACTACACAGACTTAAATTCCAGTAATATATAAAACTAAAATGCACACTTGTAACCTAGACCTTACCAAGAAAACCCATTTGCTTAAACATCAAAAGAAACAAAAAGAACATAAAAATTAGAGTTTCTACTGCATCAGAAACTGGTAATTGCAGCATAACAAAGCTCCTACATTAACCAGAGAAATTTAAAAAATAAAAAATAAAAAAGGGTTTAAAGGGTTTAAGACGGAGGACCTTTGAAGTAGATTGAGAGATTGTCTTGGGCGGTATTTGGATGAAAAGAAAAGAAAGCGAGAAATGGGCATGATTTTAATTTCTTCAATTTTTATTATGGGAATGGGTTTCTCAAGAATCGGGTTCTTTTCTTGTTGAACTTAAAAAAAACCATGTGGATTTCTAACCAAGCAAAACTCTGAGCTTGTTTCTCTTTTCTGAATATTTTATTTGCCTTGTTGTTCAAGGTCAGTTTTCAATTTCCTTTGTTATATTACGGTTTAATGTAAAAAATTACCTTCCTTTTATTGTCATTCGATAATTTTAGGTTTTTACAGTTAATTTAAATAATTTAAATCTTAAAATATAATTTTTGAACAAATTTTATTCAAATTGTATTTTTTCATTATTTATAGCATTCAGTCCATTGATGTTAATTTTTTCTGCTCTTAATTTTTTTACTATTATTTAAAAAAACTTTAAAAATGTTTTTTTTTCATTTTTTAAGAGAGATTTCTTTACACCTATTACCTATAAATAAATTAAAATTTTCATTAAATTTATCACTAAACTTTTTTTTCTTGACAAAGAACTTTTACTTTTTGAACCTATCTTTAAAAAATTAAAAATTAAATTAAAAAAAGTTTGAAAAAATGATTTTCTAACTTTAACACTTTTAAATGCATATTATATATTTGAATTAATTGTGAGAATACAAGATCCTATACATATATATATATATATATATATATATATATATATATATATAATTTAATAATTGACAATCACAAGAATAAATTTGATAATTTTAGGTTTTTACAATTAACTTTAAGTAATTTGAATCTTAAAATATAATTTTTGAACAAATTTTATTCAAATTGCATTTTTTTTCATTATTTATAACGATCAGTCCATTGATGTTAATTTTTTTCTACTATTAATTTTTTTTACTATTATTTAAAAAAAAAACTTTAAAAATGTTTTTTTAGAGAGATTTATTTAAACCTATCACCTATAAATAAATAAATAAAGTTCATTAAATTTATCACTAAACTTTTTTTTCTTGAAAAGAGCTTTCACTTTTTGAACCTATCTTTCAAAAATTAAAAATTAAATTAAATTTAAAAAGTTTGAAAAAATGATTTTCTAACTTTAAAAATTTTAACCGCATATTATATATTTAAATTAATTATGAGAATACAAAATCCTATAAAGCATATGAAGATAATATATATATAATTTAATAATTGACAATTAGAAGAATAATTTATTTGTATGACAAAAGAAAATTTTTATTTAAAATTAATTATTTGATAATTTTATTTGATCAAATTCAACTAATAGATATTTATATTTTATTAATTATAGAAGTTGATTATTTTAACGAATAATAATATTCCATAAAAGTTCATACTAAATGAAAAGAAAATTATTCATCACAAAACATTATATGTAAAAACAGAAAAATGACAAAATTTATTCATACTAAATGAAAAGAAAATTATTTATCACAAACTTACAAATGCATGCCTTATTAGAAGCAGAAAAATAAATTTATTAAAAGAAACTTAACTAATCAATCATGAATTATATAATTTTTTTTAATTTAACCCTTATTATACAGAAATTAGGAGGATAATTGAAAGAACTCCACATTAGACTACTAAAATAAAAGCAAGGATATAAAATCAAGGACAAAACTTAACCAAAAAAAATCAAATTATGAAATGGGCATTCTACCCAATTTTGTTGATTTCTTTCTACAATTTTTGCCTTGGTCTTCTGTCATTTTTTAGCTCCATTAATTGATATTTTTTTGGTTCAAAAACACATGTTCCTTCAACCTCGCTCAATAGTGGGTAAAGAGAGAGGAAAGAATCGCTAAGTTTTGACCAAATTTTGGGTTAAAAACCCTGCCAAAAGATGATCGAAACCACCTAGAATATTAACTCGAAAAAAAAATTAAGTTAGAAATTACTTGCCAACAAGCTAAAAATAGCTAGCTCAAAAACAACCTAGCTGTCAAGCATAAACTTAACTTGATAATGGAATAAAAATATGAAAGAATATACCTTCTAAGGATGGGAAATGGTGGAAGGATTGAGAGGAAAGGGATTGAGGAGAAAAGCTTATGCAAAGTTATGACTCCAAAAAAAAAAAAAAAAAATGTTTTTCGATCCAAGCTACTTTGTGTTTTTTTTTTTTGTCAAAAACTAAACTAAACTCTCTATATTTCTTTCGGAACTGAATTCTCCTTCTAATTGGCAATTAAAGAGCTACCTTATATAGGCCGTGGTTCCTTGTGACTCAACCTTGACATGAAATTTCAATTATTCATATGTTTCCTCTAGATTTGCTAGCAAGCGGGCACAAAATGGAAAATGTTGCATCTTTAACATCGAATTTGAACTTGACATCTAACCTGACAATATCTTTTAGGCAAAGTAGGTAAATGATGGATTAACTTCGTTGTAAAAGGACCAAACACATCCTGGCATTCATCGTAGCAATATTTATGTTCTACCAAAACAATTGTTTCAATGCCCTTTTACCAGGCTTGGACATCCTCGCACAGCTAGCAATAAACAAAGAACATGCATGGTATTCCATGTGTATCACAATTGGCACAGAAAGTAAATGCTTAGTCCTCATCTTGTTAATGGCATCTGCAGGATTGAGGCTTTTGGGACAGGTAGCTGTGCAATTCTTTATAGTCCTGCATCTACACAATTTCTTGTAATCTTCCGTTAATGCTTGCAACCTTTCATCCGCAAACATGCCCATTTGCATCGAATGATTTAAATGTCGAACACAGATACTGCGATTTGATGCAAAGGACTGCACGTGTAATAACAAGTTACCTGTCAGAGATCCAAAGATAAGCATGGAGCAAAGGAGCACTGCAACAAGCACAAAGGATAAACTCATATACTCCATCTAGCTTCTTTCTGTCTGTATTCTCGTCCGTCTTCAGGTGCCTTCGTTGTCTTAAGCCATGGCTCTATGGACCTATGTCATTACAGAACACATATACATAATCTTTAGAAGTTTAATTTAGACCTGATTCTATATGCAGTTGCTTCGAGATAAATCGATTCTCATTTTTGAACAATGTGAAGAACAAAAAGCTAACCAGCTAGGCTTGTAATTTACTTCTGTGGAAGTTTCAGGGAATAACGATTAAATAACTATATCATTGAAATGTCTGCACATCATATGAGATCAAAACACGCGTTTCTTTTAGTTGGATTCATAAATGATCAAATTATACTCATCTCGAAACCAAACATAGGAATTATACTGAAAGAGTAACCAATGGTTAGGACCTCAAGTGCAAAAACAATTCAATTTCGAAGTTTTAACCCAAATTAACTATCTAAACTGGTTAGCAGGGCTGAAATTTTCCATCGAGACAGTAAGTTAATTAGAAAGAACTACCTGGGGACGATGATATTACGAGGAAAGGCCTTAGCGTTATTGAAATTGGAACAAAATTAGATATAAAAAAAACAGGGGATGTTAAAGCAGATAAGATTGCGTTATCTTTACTTGTACTTGACGTAACGGAAACTCACCAAAAAAAAAAATACTATTATTAATCCGAAATCTAAATTTTGATCTACTACAATTTATTAAATTACTTATAATTATCAGATTTAACAAATATCAAAAATTGAGATAAACTTTAAATATTTTCTCATAAATTTTTATTAATCAAACAGAGCTATGTTTTTCAACCTTCAAGTTAAGTAGAAAAGTTCGGCCAAAACTGTAAAACAATTAAAAAATAAGATAAATACCAAAAAAACTAAAAAATGAGGAAAAAAATCCCAAAAATTAGTAAAAATTAATTTTAAGAGCTAAAAAAGTGTTTTTTTTTTATCAAAATCATGTCTACATCATCAGCATAACCCATGTGTTTTGTTCGTTGCCGTTTGACATCGAATTAGATTAAAAAAATCAAAATTAGGTTAATAATTTTATTTTTTTTAGCTTCTGTTGTGTTCATGTTATTTCATAAATTTGAAGACTCGTTGGTCCGGATCAGTACCGCTGGTAGAAATTGGTGAGATCAACAGCAGGATCTTTGATCGCAAACGCGTGAGGCAAAGGAGTTATAATAGTGGCCTTGCTAGTGTCTGCATCAATAGGCGTAAGGCAGGCCACAGTGTTAGTCCCATCAATATTCATGGCACAGGATCCACAGATCCCTTCCCTGCATGACCTCCTATAGGCCAAGGTTGCGTCATCCTCTGCCTTTATCTTCTGTAACACATCCAATACCTACACGCCAACACACCAATAATTATTTCCAACTGCTATTCCATGTACTATAAAAATACCCAAGAAGAGAAATTGGAAAGGGGAGTGTCTACAAATACCATTGGGCCGCATTTGGATATCTCTATGAAGTAAGAATGGAGATTTTGTTTCTGGTTGGGATTATCAGGGCTCCATCTATAAATTTTGAACTCCTTGATTAGCTTTTTGATGTTATTTGTTACTGTACCAAATGTCTCCACGGTTTCTTGTGCATGTTGTTTTCCCACAGGGTGGTCTTCTAGTATTGGAAAGTGTTTCTTCCTGGGGTCTTCCTTGCCGAGCATACGAGCTACCTTGCTGGAGCCATTGCGTAATCAGCTGCTCTTCGACATTTCTTTGTTCATCAAACAAAATGCAACCGAATAACGTTCCTAATTAACAAAAAGATCTGTAGTTGCTCGTGTATCAGATTTCTGTTCACTGAATAAAAACCATGTAAGAGTAGCATCTAAACCAACGAAAGTTGGATCAAAATAATGGTGCCGCTAATTGGTACACATGCGGTTTTCTTTTTTCTTCTCAAAACTGGTGTAAAAAAATAATTAGAATACACCTAAAAAAAAAGCATTAATTTGAATTGAAAAAATAATTAGAAAGGAACCTTTTCAACTGCATTATTGAATACAGAATTATCGGATTTTATATTAGCTTCGGATGATAAGTATATGAGATCTCAAGACTCAAAAAAAGCTTCGGTTTTCTCTTGGGCTTTGTATAAGATCCTTGGGCCTGCATTGAATATCGATCCATGATTAGTTAGTATGGGCTTTAGCCTTGTAATGGTGGGAAAAATTGCTGCTGCTAGCCTGTACCTTGAGAAAATGACAAGGATTTATTGTCCCATGTTTGCGTTGTTAGCGACATTTTTGTCTGCAAATTCGGTAGAAGGTGGTCAGAGCCTAGGATCCAGCGCTGAAGAAGACTTGGGGGACGAAAGACCATTCAAACTGTCAAATGTTACCAGTCCTTAAACAGAAGCCCTTACGAGTTGTGGCACACAAAGCCCCAACAAATAACGTCATTGGGACCATTTTATCAGCACCATCTTTGTTGACTTCCTTAACGTTTGACCCAAACCTACTGCCCCTCCATTTTGAAAACTTCAAATCACGATGTTCAGTGAATCCGATGTTCGTCCATATCTAATCCGATTTTAATATAATTGAATATATTTAATATATAATTAGTTAAATACCCGTATTACGCTGTGGTCGGACAACCATTGTATCCGTAATGTTAATGATTCGTATGGTGTAATGTGAGTAGAAATTTTATTTGTAATGATTAATATAAATCGAATATATATATTGTGCAAAATTATTTGATTTATATATATTTATTACCAAAATAACTTATAACATTAGCATAAAAATTTATATTTGAATAATTAAGAGGTTCTTTCAAAACATTAATTAAATTATTTTATTTAAAAACACAGATTTTAAAATATAAAAAATAAATAATCGATATTATCTATGCGGACATGTAATTAATTTCTAACAAAACTATATATATATATATATATATATATATATATATATATATATATATATATATATATATATAAACAAATAAAATCTATAAATTCTTTTTTAACTAATTATTAATTTTTTAAAAAAATTGAGCCAAACTATCTAAAACACGTTTTTAGTTATCTCTTTTTCTCATCGAATTTATACATGCAACTACACTAGTCTCATTTAAAAATTAAAAAAAATAATTAATCATATAAATAATAATAATATATTTTTAAAAATAACACAATCGCATTCCAAAATCTTATTTCAAAATTCATTTATAAAAAAAATTATTAACTAATAAAATTATATCAAAAAAATAAAAAATTAATTGAAGAAGAATTTTAATAAGAAACAAGCAATTAAAGAAATAAAATTTAAACAATAAGAATAATATATATATATATATATATATCCAAACTAAAATATTAAAAAATATATATATCATATATATTCTATTATATCAAACTAAACGTAAACTAAAAAACATAATGATCTATTTTCTATATTTTCACACCAAATTTCATGATAAAAAAATATATAAAAATAAATTATTAGAAGAAAAATAAAAAATAAAAAAAAAGGAAAAGAGGGCGGATGTGCAGCCATCTAACCCAATGAAGCGATGGTGGGTTTGTGAGCTAGGGCTTTGTGCCAAGCTACTCCAACCTACTCCAATCCGAGCTTGGTCGCTAGCAGCCCAAAGAAAAAAAAGGGTTAGGCATGTGCCAGCCCAAGAAACAAAAAAGGAAAAAAAAAAAGCTGCAACTTCAAGCTTGTCGAAAGCCCAAAGAAAAAAAGGGTTAGTCATGTGCTAGCCCAAGAAAAAAAAAGGTAAAAAAAAGCTGCAACTTCAAGCTCGTCGAAAGCCCAAAGAAAAGAAAGGGTTAGGCATGTGCCAGCCCAAGAAAAAAAAGATAAAAAAAAAGCCGCAACTTCAAGCTCGTCGAAAAATCGAGGATCCATTTTCAAACCCCCGAAAAATCAATATTGACATTATTGTTTTCTCCTAAATACCTCTAAATGATCAAAATAAAGTCAATAAACACTTTTAAGGCATTAAAACTCATTTTAATGCACATTGAAACAAACACAAAAACATAATGAAATCGGATTTTTTTCTCTTTTTTGACTCCGATCTACATCCTCTCATCATTTAATGGTTTAAGACCACTATGAACAAACTCAACTCTCAAATATAAAAAAATCTAATGGAGTTTCGCCGACCAAAGTGGCCGAAATAAGATTGACCGACGCTTTCTCTCTCCTCCCGTCTCTCTCTTCTTTCCTCCTTCCTCTCTACACTCAAGGATCAAAATATATCATAAAATAAAGATATGGATCAAAAAAAAATTTACAAACATTAGGAACCGAGTATAAAAATTGGTATAATTTTCATACAATTGCCCATAAAAATTCAAAGAAATAACTAAAAAGCCAAGCTACGGTAAATGAATAGTGAATACCTCACTTCTTTTAGTTTTTTTTAATTAATTTTTATATTTTGAATTTGATTTTATGGCGTGAATTCGTTAATTTTTTTATTAAAAAAATTAAATCTATTTCGATGTGGTTCAATAATAATTCGATTCAGAATTAATATTAATATTAATATTATTTTTGATAAATATAATTTTTAAAATATAAAAAATAAGAAAAAATATGGCATAAGGTTTAGATTTAGAGTTTTTTTTTTTAATTCTAAATGCTAAAAAATATTCTATACTTTTTTTTCTCTACAATGATGATTATTCTTTCAAACAATCTCATAATAAGTTTTTTTTCTTCTGTTTTCAAGTCTTAAATTAATTTTGTGAACAAATTTATGAACATATGGAAAAAAATAATAATAAATAAGTTGTTGATAGTATTATGTTTGTGTTTTAATTTATAACGTCATGATCCAATATGAATTTTCTCTGCATTTATGGCTATTCTTTCAAATAATGGCATTATAAGTTTTTATTTTTCATCCTTTTCGAGATCTCAAATTAATTTTGTAAAAAATTCTATAAACATAATGAAAAAAAGTGAGTTGTGGATAGTATTATGTTTGTGTTTCTAAATTATAACATCTTGATCTAATTTAATTTTTTGTCCATTTTAATATCAACCTTTAATGTAATTTTTCTATTAAAATTATTTGATTTTATTTTTTTAATAGTTAGATATTTTAATTCATATATAAATATTATCATAATATATATTCTTATACATACAACAATTGAAACTCATTTCACATCAAAAAAATGACATTAAATGTAACCAATATTTTTTCTTTAAAAAAAAATGATAAATTCAATAGATATCCCAATTCGATCCGATCTCGTTAGAATCTTGATCTTAATCTAATACACTTAAATCTGAATTCAACTCTCTAATAGTCTTATTTCAATATATATAGATCTATAAACTAATGTACGTTTTGAAAATATGTTGTTATGGGATGGAGGAAGTATGGGAATTTAATGCAACTAAGAGAAAAAGAAAAAAGGTACATAGATTGTTAGAATTGGTAAGAAAAAATTTGGGTTGCGAGGTAGGGTTGAGCTCAGAGTTTGTGAGATTTTTAGGCCTATTTGGACTAATACTTAACACGATGGAAAATAAAAAGGAATGGTCAATTTTTTGGTAGGTGTCAATTATATTCCTACTCCAGATTAACTAGACTATTACTGTTCTGTTGAAGTATGTATAGCTCTAACATTGCTTTCACATGTATTATATCCATCGATCCATTTTCATTTCCAAAACAGGGAAGGCATCCAGTAATGAGTTGATATTATTCAAACCCCAGGAATTTTCTCCTTTGAAGTGTGGATGAACTTGGTTCATTTCTTCCTGTTAGTGCACCCAACAAATTTCTGACAATGAACGACATTACAATAAGTGACCACTAAAATTGAAAAAAGCTGCATCGGTAAAATACTAATGATTATTGACGTATTAAATTTAAGTTTAATAGATTTTTTATTATTTAAATTTAACCAAAATCGATATTTTACCGTAATCGGTATTTTTTCAAAAAAAAAAAAAATTATCTGTGGTATAATTGAAAATTTATAATTTCTTGTTGGGGTTTAATAAGGACAAAGCAAATCAATGACACTTCAGTAGGTTAGCCTGATGCGCAGTTGACCTATAAAAAGTACCATAAAATCACCAGATATTTCAGCAAAGATTAATACGTCAAAAGGAAAGATAAAGGTGGGGAAAGTGCGGTCTAATCATACATTACATGTAATGTAAGCAATGTAAAACTCAATTGGCATGTTGGGATTAGGTAAAGTTTGATATTGAAATTCAGCTACATATATCTGCCAACTATATGACCTACATACCACGCCAATAACCAAAAAAAAAAAAATGCAAATTTTAAGAATTTTTAATGATATTATCTTCTTCTTCTTTCGCTGGAAAGAGTATTCTCAAGAATATGTCGTTTTCCTCTTTTTCTGACTTTTTTGGGTCCAACAAGCATATTTTTTATGGAACAAAATAAACAAATACGATTCCAAGTGTATTAGAATTTCTATTAAATATTTGAAAACACGATTCCATGTGTATTTTTATTTTACGATTTTTAATCGATCTTCGTGCTTAAATTTCTTGATACGTTTTTTTTTTTTCCTTCTCTTTTTGCAAGGCTAAAGATACAGCTATTAAGTTATGTAGTTGAGATTTGATTTTATTCAAAAAAAAATTTTAATCTTCTAATGAGTGGTGTATTTTCAACTTTATATAATTTTTTTTATTTATACAATATA